AAATTAAATAACTAAATAGGTTACAATTAAATGCAATCTCAAATAAATTTCTCAGTAGTACTAGACACATTTCAAGTGCTCAACAGCCATATGTAGTTATATTCTCTTGCCCCAAACAGAGCAGATGTAAAATATTCCCATCCTCGTGGACTGTTCTACTGTAATGTGCTGTGCCCATATGGTGATGGCCTCTTCATAGCGTATTGGCCAAAGAGAGTCTCACTACCTGTCTTCTGCATCTCCCTTTCACTTTGCTGCCTGATTGTTCTTGTCTTTTCTTTTTTTTTTTTTTTTTTGGTTTTTTTTTTGTTTGGTTTTGTTTGGTTTTTTTCCAGTACAGGGAATCAAACTCACGGTGTTATACTTTCCAGGCAGGCACTGTGCTGCTGAACTAAATCCCCAGCCCCTTGATCGTTCTTTTCAAAATGAAGGTCAGATGCTGTCTTGTAAAGGTATCTTCATCACCATAGGGTAGCAGAATTTCAGCCCAATTCTAGTCCACCCTTCCCTGGTATTATGGCTTATGTCTAGATGTCCCCCCAAAGCCTTAGGTAGTCATACTGCTTTTTGGAGGTAGCTGAATTTAGAGTGTGAGATTGACTTGTAGTGCAATACTGAGATTGAGGCTGTGAGTCCTACATCTGCCCTAGGGTGGGTAGCCTGCACAAAATATAAGAAACAGGAAAAAGGTTTGTCTCTCCCTCTCTCGATGCTTTTGCTTTCTTCCACTGTCATGAACTGTTGCCCCTCTGCCATGTGCCACCCTGCCTAGGAGCCAGCCAATCATGAATTGAAATCTCTACAAACTGTGAGCTAAATAAAACTTTCCCCATTCAACTTTGTATGTTGGGTATTTTGTCTCAGCAATGAGAAAAGTACCTGAGATACCTGGCTCTCTCTGCTTCCATCAGCTGGTTTCACTTTTTTCTTGAGTGTTTCTAAAGCTTGCACCTTGCTTCTATTCTCCAAGTAGCTACAATATTTGCTTCACTTTGCAAATGTTCCTCTGGGAAATACAATTCACCTTTGTTAAATAAACGAATATATCACCATGAAAACATTACCAGGGTTTAAATACCATACACTATGGCATCTAGATAGAATCTTGTCAAACACCATAGGGAAAACATTATTCCCTTAGGCCTGGTTTGGAGCTAGAACCTTTATTAGACTGCAAGGATACATGGGGAAGCCTGGGGCAGAAAGTCTGCCCTGCCTGTGGTCCCAACACACTGTTCTGACTCTGTGGCTTCACCTTCAATGGAGAGGTGGTGTGAGAGGCAGCACTGTGAGGTGGACAGGCCCTGCAAGTCTTCTATTCCCGACCCAGAAGTACAATATAATGACATTCCTGTGATTAAGCTATGTTACATGGCAAAAGTCAAATATTGCAGATGCTAAAATGTCGATAATCAGCTGACTTCAAGTTAATCAAAAGGAAGATTATTTGTATGTAGGAGGAAGAGCGGCTAAATTCATATAGTTCTTAACAGATAAAAGGAGTAGGAGTCAGTTTCTCTGGTCTGAAAGGAAGCAACCTTTCCTGTGTGGAGCAGACTATCATCTGGAGAGGAATAAAATACAGTTTCAAGGAGCTGAGAACCTCAGTTCCATGAGCTAAATGTGTCCAAAAAACTGAGCAAATATGTGGAAGATCCAAAGCTCCAGATGAGAACCCCACCTCAGCCAACATGTTTTTGCATGTTTCCTTGTTTGTCTATTTCTTATTTTTTGTTTTTGTCTGGGCTAGGGATGGAACCCAGGGCCTTGCCATGGCTGTGCTAGGTCAGTGCTCTATCACTGAGCTATACTCCCAGCCTTCTGCCAATTCAGCCTTGTGAGACTCTGCACTGAGTATCCATCTAAATTTTGTCTGAACTTTTGACCCACAGAAACTGGAAGGTAATCAATAGACTACGACACTTGAGATGCAATATTTGATCTTATACTCTGATTAACCTCTATGCTGACAGCAATACATGATGTCTCAACTATTGCAACTATTCTACTAACCTGCTTCAAAACTCGGTTTCATTATTTGTTTTATCTTTTTTCTCTTTAAAATAAAAAAAGACATGCAATATTTGTAAGAAATTTTTCGTTTCACATTAGGGAAATAATGCAATGGGATTCCAAAGATTTTTAATATTTTTATACCGTAGACACCTTAGAAAAATCTGCTCCAAATTAATTTCTAAATGCATAAAATAAAATACATAGTATTAGAAAGGAAACCCTTTGTTGAAATGGAGTAAAATATTTTTGAAAAGCTATCTGGATTAGAGTAGCCTTCTCCTTTGTTAACACATTAAATACTAAGATCTACTTGTGAGTATACGAATGACTGCAATATCAAAGCAACAATGAGTGTAAACCATATTCTACATAGCAGTCAAGACAGTAATGCAATGTAAAATACCTGTGATTTCTACAGGTATCAGTGCCACAAGACTGCTAGGTCTTTTATGGTTGGTTGCTCTCATTCCTAATTGATAGAAATGTTAAATTTCTGATGTTACTGAACATAAAGATACCTTTCTCAGTTTGATTTTCCATGCCAATACATAGAACCCCTGCAAGCTATCCATGTTTCAAACCTCTAGTTGAGGAAGTTCTTGGGTGTCTTCCAATCTCCATGTCCTCAGATGGCTTCACTTCTTAGCAATCCCCAGTGGGTTCTATCAAGTAAAGCTACTGACATTGGACTCCTGTGTACACCCTTTGTAGGGCCCACTCTCTTGTTTATTACAAGTTCATTTTTGTTTAATTACATGTTATTGGATTTGCATGTGTGAGTCATGTCTTTTTGATTATACAGAATCAACTTGAACAGCACACAGCTGCTCCAAGATAAACTGGGTGTATCTGTGGGGATTTTTAAGTGCCTGTGTTGCACATCTGCTCCTGGGAGAAGCCACAGTTCTTAACAAGAACAGGCAAAGCCAAAGACCCAGGCTTAGTCCTCGTGTAATCTACACCTGCCCATCCCTGGACCTTCCCTCCTCTGTACCCCAGAGCAGGATGGCAGTCTGTGCTTGCAGCCTCTTCACCTGCTGCTCTCTGCACCTTCACAGTTATGCATGGATTCTCTCTTGTCTGGATTGTGCTGCAAATCAATGTAATGTGTGTATCCCAATCATTTCTTTACTTCTTTCTATATTCTGTACTTTTTTCAAAAATTATAAGCATGCAGCTTTAAAATTTAAAGAGTACTTAAGAGCTTACAATACATCCCTAACTTCTTTGGTTGCAGCTCCTGTTCATTATCCACCCTTGGTGACCTCCTTAACTTCACAGAATATGTCTATTATTTCTTGATTTATTAACTTGACATGCAGTCTGTTGACTCACTGTTATGAAAAATGAGGATTTAACTCACTTTACTGTACATTTCCCAGGGACGCTTGTTTTATTGCAGTAGCTTGATTGTTTACCCTTATCTTGCCTCTACTTTTTATCATGCCTCTCTTTATATCACTTTTCGCATTGCATGTGCCTACAGTACTTTTTCTCTTTTTGGTTTCATCTTCTGTCAGATATTTATTTGACTTCATATTGTCACACTTAGCATTATTTACCTTCTCTTCTTAAACCAAAATTGAATCTCCATACATTCACTATAGATTAATTTTAAAGGTTGGGAATTAGTAAAGAAATTTTACTCCACTTTGACCACCAAGATCCTGTTGTTTGCTGGACCCAGTGTTGGCCAGGACCACAGGCCTAATGTGATGACCTCCTGGATCATCTGTAGACGAAAGTGGAACAAGCTCACAGAATCATTGTTTCTGCCACAAATGACTAAATTCCTTTGTAATTGTTTATAATTGATGTCAGGTTAATGTTTTCTTAAGTATCCTGTATAGGAAATTTTGTGTGTTTTAACGTTTATTTGAGTTTTCAACTACTTCTACTTCCTTTAATCTTTACAAAAAAATGACGATATGTCTTCGGTCCCCAATTTCAAAGACTCTCACCTACTCAATTAAATTAGAATCTCCATGGATGAACTCTCGCAGAGGTTTGTTTCAAATCAAAGTGTTTGCAAGTAAAGAAAAAATTAAACCAGATTTACTTGATATAGGGAGGACTATCACTGAAGATACAAACCCCATGTAAGATACACCATTTTCAGCTCTAGGAATTAGGAGTCCAAGAACTGGATCACTGGGTGCCACAGCCAAAGAGCTTCAATCCAGATGTTTTGGGTGACGCTCCACCTCCAGTGATATTGATACAGGGATGATTCTGACCTAGCCTATCTGCTTATTTCCATCTTTTTTTAGAAGAGGATATGAATAAGGATTCCTAGTTTGGGTGTAGGGGGTTCACAATACATTAACATAAATTTCTTGGTAATCAAACCTCAGTAGTGTGTAGTGCACAGAAACTAAGAACTCAAAGTGTTCCATTTCGACTCACTACTATTACAGGTGATTTGTGAATTTCTTCTGAACCTATTTGGATAAGATAATTCTTCAAAGCTAAATCTACACCTCTGGTTCCCAGCGAGCTAATGAGTTTCTTTCCTGAACCCAAGTAAATCTTATGGCAGAGGTAGACACTTTCCATAGTTTTGATCTGAATATCACTGTCTATTTTGTAAATGATCCCCAGGCTGAGGTGAAATAGAACGGTTAATGTATTTTTGATGAATATTAAAAATTCATGAAAAAAATAAAAAGTATGATTAATATTCAAAGGAGCCTGATTTGGGCTTCCTTGCCTTAAAGTTATTCCTTCTCTGATCCTCTCTCCCTTACTCTACAAAGTGCATCATAAAACTTCCATGTCTTTCTACATTATGGAAAATCAATTTGAAAAGAATGCCTTTATGTCTGTGACTTGTCAGAGGTAAATTGAGTAGAAAATTATGCATACCCTGGTAAAACCAAGTGTTAATATGGAAATTCTCATTAAATGCCCTAAGAAGCTACAGATGTTTGAGTAAATTCTACTGATTGCTTTGACCTGACCTCTTTTAATGTCTCCTTTTCACAGTGTACTGAAATTCTTCAACAGATCTCACCCTATGTTATCAGTTTCAGACCATGAGGCTTTTCCAGAATCATTGGGTATGGCATTAATTCATTTTCTCCTCTCTTTCCCCTCTCCTGTTCCCTACCTGCTGATTACAGCTCTCTGTGAGCAGGGATATGCAGCAAGGTTTGCCTTTAATAAATAGGATATTCTATTCCAGTCACCCATGCAGCTCATTTTAAATAAATTGAATCAACTTATGCCTATTAGCTGCATGTCCTTGAACTAAGATAATATAGGATGTTCAGGTATCACTCAAAGAAGGAATTAGAAAGGTGAAAAAATTTACCAAGTGTTCCAAAATATGTTCTTTAATAGAATCTTACTTGACTAGGTCTGGGGAAGGGAACTTCTATTACTCTTAATAAAGAGGTATATTAACTGTAAATAGCATGCCATGACCTTGGAGAAAATACTGAGAAAATTGGAAAACTTGAGTCTATTTTTTCAATAGGGTGATATTTTCATGACATGAATGACCTATCATGAATGATGTTCACAAACAGTACCAATATTGATAACTGAGCATGCCTTCTTCCTTCCCAGGGCAGCTCTTATCATAGGCGTGCAACCTTAACTGAACTAACAGGCAGCTGAATCCATCAGCCAATTCATCTAAGGGAGTTGCTTATATGAGGAGCATTAGGATTATTTTTATTACGAAGCACTTAAATTTGGCTGTGACAGATAATCTCTGAGGGTTTCTTCTATGGTGATGGATCTTTTTCCAGAATTTTCTACCCTATTTAAAAACAGGTTATATCTTCATTTATTAGATTCAGATTTTGCTTTTGCTATTACTGTGGCTGCCCAATATTTCAAGTTCTGTTCCTGTGAACATTTGGTGTGATCTCATCTTCCTGTCCCCTTCAAGTTTAGCATGGCATGCAACTTGTTTGGCCAATGAGATGTATGTGGATGTGCCATTCCTGGCTTCCAGGCTGCATCATCTAATTGCTGATGCTTGATTCTTAAGTTCTCTCCTCACCTAACTTGTGACCTTGGAAACAAGTTGACATGGAGGAGCCCTGGGATTAACACAGCATGAAAGGAGAGCTGTTCTGAATCATGGCTGATTGAGGATGGATGAGAAATAAAGTTATGTTGTGCTGCCTCACTGAAAGTTTGCAGTTACTTTTTCTGTAGTATAACCTAGCCTGTCTTTTCTAAAGTGGGCTTCATATTCAAATTCTCTTGAAGGAAACCTTTCAGAGCCACTGTTTCTTTGTTTCCAGGGCAGCTGTCTTGACCATTCTTGATGGAAGCTTGGAGTCGCTTTCTGAAATGGACAGATACTTGGAGTGTTCTGAACTGGAGGGTCCAGATGTTGACCTGCCAGGAGCAGACAAGTAAATGCTTCGTGAGTTTCTATAATTAATGGAGAAGAGCTGCACAATAAAATCAAAGTCAGGCTTAGTTAGGGTAAGGTTCTCTTGGGATCTCTGCTTGTGACTGTTGGAAGGAAAGAATGCATCATTAATTGGCGTATATTAATTGCACTTGACCACTCATAGTATCTCACTTCCATACCAATAAAGGCTTGGAGGAATAACCTTGGAATAAGAAATTGAGTTAATAAAGCCTGGGCATGCTATCATTTTCCAGAAATGGGTCTCCTTTTAAGAAACTTTTCTTTTTTAAATTTTTTTTTATTTCAAAAATAAAAGGAGGAAAACATTAATAGACAGACAACCTTTTACAGAATAGCAAAAGAACAGTACAGACAATACAGACTTACAAACAAAGTGGTAGGAAATTAACAGTGCTTGTTGCACTACATATTGATATCTTCAAAGTGGTTTCTCATGAAAACAGATAGAGATATGCAATATTGAACAATCAAGGACTCACTGACAGTTTCTTTCAGCAAAGAAATAGAAAAGAGTAGAACAACTATGTTAGCTATCCTGTATATACATACATACAAAATTTCTCCTTCTTTCCCTTCTCTTTTCCCACATCTCAGTAGCCTTTTACCCTTGAGCATTTTCTATCACTTCACAATGTCTATCATACCTCCGAGTTTAAATTAACTCTTTCAGGTTTTACACTAGTGAAACAATGCGGTGTTTGCACATACAGGTCTGATTTATTTCACTTATGAGTATGGTGTCTAGTTGTGACCATTTACCTATAAAAGCCTTGAGTTTATCTTTCTATATAGCTGTGTAATATTCCATTATATAAAAGTACCACAATTTTCTTATCCAGTCCTCGGTGGATGGACCTTTGGGTTGCTTTCCACAATTTAGCAATTACAAAATGTGCTGCTATGAGCATAGGTACACATATATTGCTGTGATATGATGTTTTTAGATCTTCTGGGAAAATACACAGCAGGGGAATAGCTAGGTTGAATGGGACCGCTAGACCTGGTTTTTGGAGGAATCTTCAAACTGATTTCCACAGTGATTTCACCAGTCTGCATTCCCACCAGCAGTGGAAAAGGGTTTCTATTTCTCCACACCCTCGCCAGCATTTGTTATTGGTTGACTTCTTAACGCTAGCCATTCTTACTGGGGTAAGGTGGAATGTCAGTGTTGTTTTAATTTGCATTTCTCAAATGACTGATGATGTTGAACATTTTCTCATGTATTTATTCGCATTTGTATCTTCTGATCTGAGAAGTGTGTGTTCATCTCAGCTGCCCATTTTTGGATTGGGTCTTTGAATTTGGGGGAGCTGATATTTTTAATTCTTTATATGGTCTAGGTAGAACCCCTCTGTCTGAGGGACAGTTAGCTAAAATTTATTCCAAGTTTGTGGGTTTTCTTTTTACTCTGCTGGTGATTTCTTTAGATGTGCAGAAACTTTTCAGTAGGATGAAATCCCAGTTGTTGCTTCTTTCAAGTGTTTCAAGTGCAATTTGGTTTTTGTTCATGAACTGTCTACCCCTATGTCTTCAAGGATTTTACCTACTTTCTCTTCCAATAGATTTAGTGTTTCTGTCTTAATATTGAGATCTGTGAGCCATTCTGACTTGAGTTTGGTGCATGGTGATAAGTTTGGGTCTATTTTCAGTCTTTGGCAGATAGCAAGGCAATTTTTCCATCACCATTTATTAGAGAGGCTATTGTTCTTCCAATGAGTTTGTCTGGCTCCTTTATCAAAGAGTAGGTGGCTGAGTGTGATTTTCATAGTGGTTGTTTCTTTCAGTCTGTTCCTTTGATCCTCAGGCCTGTTTTTTAGCCAGTACCAGGTTGATTTTATGACTGTAGCTTTATAGTATAACTTCAAGTCAGGGATTGTGATTCCACCGGACTTGTCATTTTTGTCCAGGATTGCTTTTGCAATTCTGGGTCTCTTTTTGCTCCAGATGAATTTAAGGCATGTTTTCTCGAGATCTGTGAGGTATGCTAATGGTAGTTGAATGGGAATTGCATTGAATCTGTACAGTAGCTTTGGGAGTATGGTCATTTTCACAATGTTGGTTCTTCCTA